GGGGTTTCACTGGTCCAAAATTTTTAAATTGTATAATGCAGTACCGACTTAAAGGCATGGGCACTTGTCCAGGGTCTCAGGCCTCTTCATTGTCAGTTTAAGTGTTTAGAAAAAATGCAAAATGGTAATTATCATACTTAAATTGTTAAATATTAATAGTTTGTTCATTGTTGTTTCTTTTATTATAGCTAAAAACTGTTTTGAACAGAAATATTTAAAAAAATTAATTAATTCATTGAAGTAGTCCAAAAAATAAATAGTTTCAAAATAAAATTATGAAACAACATCACTATTAAGATACATCTAAAAATAAGAAGAATTGTGATACCCTTGCATGTTTAACTAGCATCTTTTTTTTCGTTACTGGTAACCTGATTTTAACTATAAGCCTACCTGCAAGTTTAATAAAATTATCCTCCAACTCTTGCAGTTGCCTCATTGTGATTTCAAGAGTCTCTAGAGTTGTTAAATTGGTATAACTTTTTATATCTGACTTTTTTTCTGAATCATCCTCTTTTCCTTGTGTAAAATTCATTCTGATATAAAAAAAAATATATCAATTAGTTAAAATTAAAGTAAGCAAAACATTTTCATAATACAAATTGAATGCTTAATTATTTAGTGTTGATATAATATAGAAAACATACAACCTTAAAATTGGATAAGTATAAGTCTAATGGTTTGGATATGTCTTAACTTATATGTAGCCTAATTTAAGTTTCTCTTTACACCAATTTTAGACAATCTTATTCTTGAGATATTTGCATATGAAAGCATATATTTTCCCTTAACTAATTGATTAATATTCTATAGTATGTGACAATAGGCCTTCTAATACTATTGGATATTGATAAGTTCTTTTTAAAAAGACATAGCCATAAGCCAAAAAGACACCCCCCCTCCCAACAAAAAAAAAACAACAAAAAAAAAACATTTTTTTTCTTTCCTTTTAACCCAAATATTAAATTAAAATTGGGATCAGGAATTCTTAGTCAAAACTAAATAAAATTATAATTATAACATTTGAGGCCTTAAAAAGAAAAAAGGAAGCCTACGCCTACATTAACAAACAATGAGTAGCACATGTAGGGGGTGCAAAAGGGGCACTCCACCCAAGCCAGCACTTTTTTTTTTCTGTATGGGTATATGAATAATATAATTATGATGGAGGGCCGCCATTTTCGGCCAACTGGAAGGGTGCGGCAAAAATCTTGACCAGCCCTGGGGCGGAAAGAATCTTGACCAGCCACGGGCCCCTGTTACGCAAGTTACGGCCACTGTTTACACACAAAAAACATGCAAGTACAACATACTGCCAATAATACTGCACAGACCCCAGATTACAAAAATAACTTTAAAAAAATCAAATATAATATCTATATGAAATGAAATTACTAAGTTACTGTTTTTGGCATTGGTTTTTACTAAAGTTTTTAGTCTAAGTCTAGTGCAGCAGCATCAGCAGAATCAGCAATGTCAATTGTCAATGTTTAGTATTGTTTATAGTTTATCAATGTTTAATGTTTGTCAATAGTTGAAGTTTATCTAAATTCCATCAATCGAAGTTTTTAAGCAAACAGTTTAACTTAAAAAATCTAAATTAGACTTGATACATGAATTTAGTCAATCTACTTTTTAGTGACATTGGATCACCTTCTTTAACCGTTAAAATATGTTAGAATACTAAAATACCTTACTTTCTCAAAAATATCAGTTTTGTAAGCAAATACAACAGAAGACTCTGCTCCTTTCTTGACATTGCCAGTTAAGGCTTATGCCCTAAAATCTTAAACTGAAATGACAATATATTTCATTTCGCACAATTTTTTGTTAACTTAATCATGACTTATGAATATTTAATTAAAAGGTAAGGCTATTTTAGACGCAGTTTAAATTTAATTAACAGTATTTAAAAAAAAAAATTACCAGGAAATCTTTCACATTGTCTTGTTTTGCTAAGACCAGAAAAAAAGAAATACAATTTTTATTATTAGCTGACATAAGTCCTTTCTTCAAATACCGGTATGACTAAACACTTAAATTATCTGGTCATTGATTGGATCGTGCGGAAAAAAATACGGAAATCGTAAATTATTTAAATAACTAATTTTGAAGAACGCTCGCATTAAGTTCAGTATTTAAAGGGCATTCTTCCAGGATTCATGTAGGCCTACAATTTCGTTTCTGTGTGTACAAATCTCAAAGTAACTACACCAAGAAGTTGGTGGATACAACGATTATAAAATATTGTTTGTAAAAGTAAAGTTAGTAAAGTAATGTTTTTTATTACTATTTAAATGTAGGCCTACTTATACTTATTTTATTATTTAGTTAAGACAACTGGAATTAAGACTTTTGCAGGCCCAGCATAGTGGCAACTGTAACAACTCAACACATTTTTCGGTAAATTCAGAAAGAGCGGCCCGCGTCTATTTTCAATCGCGCACTTTTACGTCTTAAATCGATCCCTAGTCACTATGCCTAACCCGAACCCTAAATCTATGCCTAACCCGAACCCTAAATCTATGCCAAACCCGAACCCTAAATCGATCCCTATGCCTAACCTTAACAAAGTCGATGTGGGCCACTAAATCTGAAACAGCCCATTTTTCATTATTATTCTTGTCATTCTCTCATCCACATTTTCACTGACTCATTCAATGTGATTGATCATTGATAGCAATTGCCATTGACGCCATTGTGTATGATACTGTAAAGTTAGGCCTAGTATTTAAAGAAAATTTAACTGTTTTTACTGTTGACTAATAAACCTACTCTTTTACTTTGTACCTTACTAGTATGATATAGGCCTATAGTTAGGACCTGTTACAAGCACTCTACTGGTCTACTAAAATAAAACAGTGTCTGTAGTATTTGAATTTGATACTATTGACAGTATTGAAATTGATCATTGAAGTCTAACATCATGAAGGCCTAATTGTCCAAATTCTTGATTAATAAATAGTGTAATCATAATTAAGGCCTAATTTTTTAACTTGATAAATAATTATTGATGAACTATCATTGTTTGTGTAGCACTTCACTTCAGCTTCAGTTTGATCAAGTTTGAATAGTTATTGATTTTTATAATTTTTCATCTTCAAAAATATCCTGTACTGTTCAGTGTTATTGCCTCATGCATAAAATAACCACAAATGCTAATTCTTCTATCACTTCAAAATCATTTATTGACTCTCTGGCCTGGATTATCTGAAGTTGCAGGTCTTACTTAACTTACTTGAGTGGTCTGCTGGCAATAATTAGGTGACCCCTGGTCCAGACTTTAGCACAAGGCTTCCCAACCTATATTGTGCACCCCTTTAATTGTTTGACTAAGTCTCACACTCACACACCTTACCAGAGTAGAAACATATTTAAAAATTGATACATGTTTATATTTACTTTTCCTGGCACCCCCTGAAATGTAACATTGAAGGTTGGGAAATCTTAGTCTGATAATTTGTTTTTTTCCTCTATTGTATTGGCCATACTATCCATACCAATACTTTTTAATAATAATATTTAGGCCTATTAGCTATAAATTGTATATTGTAGAATAGGAGTATAGACTGTGATCCATAGAACAAGCCTGTTTTTAGAGTGATTAAATTCTCAAAAGAAAGATTACAGTTCTAATTGTTAAAAAAATTAACAAAAAACCAGCGTAAGTGGTTTTCTGTGACCAACATTGATCAATGTCTTGCTATTTTGTATCATGGGCAGTCTTGTTAATAATTTATGTGCCATTCTTCAGGTAAAATCATTCAGATAGATGTAGAAAAGTTTAGTCATATTTATGAGTAAAGTGGTTTTCCATTAAGGCATGAAAGGAGGCTGTAAAGGTGTGTCTGTGAAAAAGATAAGTCTCAGAGCCCAGTCCTAGTAATCATAAAGCCTATGGCAAGATTACATTTTTTTAACATTAAAAATAATGAAATTGAATTTTAAATTAACTAAATAGGCCTAATTGATGATAAATGCTGACTATTAAAGGCCATGGTCAGGTCACTTGTATAGCCTACTTGTTACTAAACAATAATTCCATGCCACACATTTGATTTATCACAGTGTGGCCGTTTCCATATTGTAATTAAAGCCATCTATGGAAGCCTTATTGATAATTCCAATAGTTTCTAAGAAGAAAAAGGTGGGAGGGGGCAGGGGGGGGGGCGACAAAGATAAAAATCAATGTTATGACATCCTGTAGTTTAGTACTATAAGTTTGTTCTTCATTTTCTCATCCATTATCTGTAAGTAAGTTCTTTCAATATGTTTCTTCTTAGAGATTTTTTTCCTGTTGATCAATGTCAGTTATTTCTTATTTTTATAGCTATGATTACTTATTTTCTCTATAATTCTTCAATGTCATTTTTTTTCCACAGAAAATATTAAATGGAAGAATTGCCAGTACTTTTGAGGCGGGCATACTCTTTGATGAGTGATATAACAAAGTCTTCAGACATGGCCCCCAAGTTGGAACTTTTAGATAAAAACCATACAATGTCAAAGTCAAAGGCTAAAGACCTTACAAAAAATTTACACTCAATTATTAATATGCTGGATTTAAAACTACAAAATCATTTAGACAGTGCACTACAAGAGAAAAAAGATATTCTTGAAAAGCATTCAATAGAAATCACTCAGGTAATCGGCTACATCAGTCAATTATGCATTATGGCAGAAAGGGCTTTAAAGGAAAAAACAATGCCAAGTTTTGGTCCTCCATTAAAAGAACGGTTAAAAAAAAGTCTGGAAGAATGCAAACAAATTAAGTTAATAGATTTTGAAGCTTTTACTTCCCTGGACTTGGAATTTAATCTCTCTAAACTTATGGAGCAATTTGTTATCAAGGTTGTCAGCACCAGCAAATGGGAAGAAGAAAAACAAGTCTTGTATTCAGTAAGTTTGAGAGATTTAGCTGCTCAGGACGTTGAAGCTAGAGCATGCCTGGAGAGCCCTGATGATGCCAGTAAATCTAATCATGCTTTTGGAGTTTCATATAATCCTTCAAACAAGTCTACAATGCAGCATATTAAATCTGAAGATTCAGCTGCAAAAGGGAATTGGAGTAATAATTGCAAGTCAGACAGTCTTGATAATCTAGATTTATTATTAAGTGGTATTGAAATTAAGGAAGAACCTTTTTCTCCTAAAGAACAATATCGTGATGCATGTAGAGTAAGCCAGGTTGTTCATGACATTCCAGCTAACTTCCAACAGCCATTAAATAACAAAGTAATCAAACAAGATGCACCTTCTAAGACCTTGAATAATATGAAAACAACTACACAGATAGTTTCTGAGAAGGTAAAAATTAGTTATTCTGATTTGAAGAAGGAAAAGGAAACACCTAACCTATGCCCTGCCACTACCCTGGAGAAATGTAGAACCCAAACATTAGCCACAGTGAAAACTTCACACTGGAGTTCCAAGGACATAGAGCCCCTAAGAATAACCTTCGACATAGGACCTCTTATATCCACCTCCAAATTCGGAATGCTTGGTCAGTTTTAGAAAATCTTTATAGGTGTAATTTGTTGCAATTTTTGTATAACTTTAATTTTAAATTATAAAAATCCACTTAATTGTTTGCTATCAAATAAAAATATATGGTTCATAAGAATTGAACTAACTAAATAAATTAATGTCAAAGGGAAGCATCCATCCTATCCCTGTGGTGCTACAGCCCATGTAGAACTTTGGCCTGCCTCACCACTTCCTTCCACTCCGACTTAACTAATGCTTTTCTTTTCCATGCTTTGATTCCCAGCTGCTGTAGATCTTTTTACACATCATCCATCCATCCATCCATCTAAGCCTAGGTTTGCCTTTGAGTCATTTTCCTTGGGTGGGGGGGGGTTTGGTGGTGCACCCTCTTCACTCCTCTGCCATTTGGATTCTTTCTAAGCGTCCCTCCCAGCATAGCCTGCCCTTTTTTATTTCTGCTACTAGTGTGGGATCTTGATATAGAATATTCAAATCTTAGTTGGTTCATATTCTCCATCCATGTTCATCCTTTGTTGGTCCATATAATTTCTTGAGAACTTTTCTCTCCCATGTGTTTAATAGGTTTTCTGCTGTTTTTGTTAGGGTCCACATTTCACTTGTATATGTTACAACTGGCCTGATTTACAGTCTTATAAATAGTTTTTGATGTTTTTCTTGTAATGTTTTTACTTTTTACGCAAGAAAAAGTAAAGGGAATGCAGTTATCCACCAATTTTTTGCTTCAGTTTTGATCAAACTATTTAATTAATAAAAGCTAAAAAGAAGTGTGTAGGCCCTATTTTTTTCTCATAGGTTATTTTTTTACCAACAGATTTATGAATCTATCCACAAAGCTTGTAATATTAGCTTTTCAAAAATGATTTCTTTAATCGCTTGATTAAATCAATAGTAATATCAATTAAATATCAATAGTAATAATTTTTTGATAAACATTTTCCAAAATTGTATAAGTAAAGGGAAAATAATAACCTGAAAAAATTGCGGGTGTGAATTTGAAAGTAGAGGCCTACTGAAGAAATCAGTGGTGAGATTTTTAAAAAATATTCATTGCAATTATTATATATTTAACAAAAAAGGATTTTAATGGGCTTGACTGTTTGTATTTTATACAAATTTAATTTCAGCAAAGGGGAAGAAAAATTTATATATCATATTTAAACTTTACCATGAGGAAATTTACATTTTCTGCAGAAATCAGAGCACAGCTTGTATCGAAAATCTTTGGCAGCAAGTTGTTTGATCACCCAACTGGACTAACTGTTACTGAAGATGGACTGCTAATTGTAGCAGACACTGGAAATAATGTTGTAAAAGTGTTGCAAGACAGTTCAATACTTTTCACCATTGGAGAGAAAGTATATTATTTAGAGTTAATTTATAGTGAACATTTCCTTTGATGATTTATAGTAATAAACAAATAATACAAATTATAACTAATAAACAGAAGCCAATTCTGTTTTGTGGTATTCAATGCTTCCTAAAAGCATCTATCATGTGTATGGATTTAATCCCTAGTGATTAACAAAATTTAAGGCTAAAGCATTTTTATGGCATATCATTAACACTATGACTGCAAAAATATCTTAAATTAAAAAAACTAAAATACCATAAATTAGAGCAGTGCAGTCCAACTTTTTGACACTATGGGCCACCGAGAAAACATGATCAAGCTGTGGGTTGCACGAGAAAACTCAAAAGCAATTATTAATTTTTCTTAATAGTGATGACTAAAAAAATATTATGGAACAGAAAAAATGTTATTAATGATGTATTTCTGATTAATGCTTTGTCAGTGCCAATAGCCCTTCCTCAGTGACATTTGATTTGTATCTTTAACCTTTTAAGTTGTGGCTGCTGCTCTCATTATTTATTATAAAAGTTTATCAGTCAGAGTTTCATTTTTTTCATGTTATGGAAAAGTGATTTCCAATCCACTAATCCAAACGGCCAAAGCCCTTCATAACATTTTAGCACATGTAGAAATTGACCTGAAGAAACATAGTGCATTTAGAATCCAATTTGTTGCATATTCTTGTCTCGCTATTATGTTGCATCTTGTTTATTTCAAGCCCCATTGCACTTTCATCTACCCTCAACAACAGCCCCAATGAGGCTACAATGGAAATATTAAATGTGAATAACAGCAAAACTGTTAGACTGTGAATTTCAAAACAATCTCAGAATATACCGTATTTATTGGCGTATAACACGCACCTTTTCTCCCCAAAAATAGGGGGCAAATCATGTGTGCGTGTTATACGCCAATATAATGTTTCATATTTTTACCTGAAATTTTCTTCTTAAATTGAGGTGCGTGTTATACGCCAATAAATACAGTAATTTAAACATTAGTTTTTTCTGACCTGCGGCTAAATGTTCACGTTCCTGTACATCATTTAAAGTTTTAAATTTAATTTGTTTTTGGTGGTCTATGATATTAAGAAAGCAAACACTGGAATTTCCCTATAATTTGGCACCTTTTCCTAGAATTTTACCCTGAGAAAGATTCTCAATTCTATGATGAGATCCCAGAATATTTCCACTACCTTCCCATGACTCCACCAATAAACATAAGAAACTGATTTTACTTTGAACGTGTTGAATCTGAAGATTGCCTAACATTAATTTCTCAGTATTCCTAGACAAATCATCACATCAATTAGCTGTTGTGGTCCAATCCTTAATGCTAGTTTTTTTCTCATGTGAAATTTCAAAATTACTGTTTTTGTATGTCTTTAGTAGAGACTAGTTATTTTGTTTTTTAAATATTACAGAATATTTGCTTCCTAACAAGTTTTTATTTTTTAAATTTGTATAAATTCTTCCAGCTTTGTTGAGTTATTTACTTAAAAATCTTTCCCCATGTAGCTCATTAGCTGCAAGCTGAACAGTACTGAACTATTTAAAATCATTCCCCACATCTTGTGTTGCACAAATCATCTTTAACCCCCCCCCCCCCCCCCGAACAGCATTGGTCATTGTGCTCTTCTAATACATGAAATTTTTTGATTCATGAAATTGAACCGTTATTATTTGTGACATTTTATGTCAGGCCACTTTGTATAGCTTTCTTATGCACAACTAATTTTAATCTTGGCTTTTAAGGATGGAGTGATATTTGCTCGTCCTTCAGCTGTTGTTGTTGACAATCAAGGGCACATATACGTTAAGGATGATTACTGTATTCAAGTTTTTGATATCAGAGGCAGACTTCTTCATTGCATTGGAAGGAACACTTTCCTTCATCCATATGGTAATTTGCAAACATTGAATTTAAAAGTAAGAGAACACATAATCTATAACTTTTTAAAAAGTTCTTAATGTTTACATGTTACCTCTCTTTCTTGATATAATAAGTGTGTTTTTGACATGAGTTTGTTACTCTTAACTTGGTAAATGGAACATTTATCTGTTGAATCTCAATATGATTTACAGGTCTTGCATTGATCAAAGAAGGGAAAAATCCAACTTTGGTAGTGATTGATGCCGGAAGGGGAGGCTCCATTGTCCATCATTACTTGATTAAAGAGAACAAACTGATAACATACCCTTACAAGCCTCTCCTTAGATTCGGCAGCAAGACCAGCAAAGTTCGTTTCATGGCCATTAGTGGAGACATTATGTTGGCCAGTGATCTTGGTAAATTTATGATGTCAATATTAAATACTTGCATACAATTACTTATTATACTATATATAACATCAAGCACATACACTCAATGATGCATGGTGTGGAGGAATTATGAGGGGATATGTATAAAAAGAAACCCCCTATACAGACTGTACTAAAGCATATGTCACACAGGTTAAGAGTTACTTGAACATGGCAGCTTACTTATCCAATATAAATTTAATATATATCCTGGATGACCAAAGTACATATAATTTTGATAAAATAATTATTTAATGGGAATTCAATCCTCTGAAAAGTGCTGTGAATGTTTACACTTAAATTTATGTGAGCATAGGTGTACTTTTTTAAGTGTCTCTTTAGTTAAATAAAAGATACTCAAGGACTAGTTACATGCATCAAACACCTGTAAGTAAAAGTGTAACAAAAATAATTTCTTCTTTGATTAACTATCCAAATATAGTAAAATGTATTTGAGTTTTAATTTTTTAACGTTCAGTTGAAGTAAGAAACTAAAACAAATATTTCATTCATAAAACTTTATGATATTCCTTGCCATCAACAGAATTTACCTCTCTAAAATAATATAGTTATTTATTGCAACAGAGTATAAGACATTGTTAAGATTGTTTGCGACGGCTCTTATCCAAAATTTTCCAGTGCTCACTATTTAACCCTAAGGCCCCTTCATTTCCATTTTTGGGCAAACCTACCAGTTTTCAAACTGGCAGCCTCAGAAATTATTTATTTTATCCCTTAAATCTTCAGGTGCCAGTCAGATGTACTTGTCTCGTACTAATGGAGAATGTTTGACAACATTCAGCAATTATGGTACCCGTCCGGGAGAAATCCATGAACCTTCAGGAATAGCTGTAGATGCTGCTGGAAATTGGATTGTTGGAGACAGTAAAAACAACAGAATTCAGGTTTGTATTTAGAAATATGGGGGTTTAAAAAAAAAAAGCAATATTTTAAGGGTATTTTAAACAAATTAAATACACACTGATGACTGAATTTATGTTTTTATTTTTGAGGTGTTACATCAGGGGTCAGTAAACCGGGTAAATGACCGCACATTTGGGTAACAATGAAATTTATTGTGGGTAAAGAAAGCTTAATAGACAATGTAAATATTTTTAAAAATAAAAAGCTCCTTTTTTATGAATATCAAAAGCATACATGCATGTCTTGCCTTGAATAAATAATTTTGGCCTGGTTGCCGATTTTATATGTTTTGGTTAAAAATTTCAAAGCTTTTATTAATTTAATTGTATTTTTTTATACTATCGTTATATAGTCAATAATTCTCTACCTTGCAAATCGAGGGATAACATCTGCATGAGCCAATATAAATTTCATGGTAAAGCTAATGTTAATAAGGGGAAGAGACTAATCAGGTTAGCAAAAAAGGAAATGAGTAAAACAAAGAATGGGAAAACCTTGAAAAACGAATGCAAAAAATGTTTTGTTTCCTCCTTTTTTCAGGTTTTCCCTTTCTTAGTTTTACTCTAGAGCGCGCCCGCCCGCCCCCCGCACCACTCTGCTACATGAATGATTCTTATTTTAGAGACATGTTTCATTTACTCTTTTACCTTAGCAAAGATAGTTTTAAATTTTGCCTTTATTAGGGTATGAATTCATTGAAATGTATATGAAGGTAAACAAGTCATAGCATTGGGAATTTAAAGATAGAATGAAACCTGCTAATTTTGAAAAAAATGATTAACACAAGGAAATTATAAGGACCAACATTGTCAACAGGAATGTTTTAAATATTAAAAAAACTCAACTTATTTTTATTTTATTTTTTAAATACACTATTTTGAATTGTTTTTAATTGATTATTTAACAGTAGAAAGTTGCTGGTTATTAAAATAAATCCAATTATTGATTCATTGAAACTGGTCTTTATTGGTGAGCTAGCTCAACAACGCTTAGAACATAAGTACTTACATGTGTGGAAAGATTAAGAGGTATTTTTTTTAATGAATAACCTTATAATCCGGAATCAAAGTTTTATAAAATATTTTATATATAATTAGATTAAATTACATGTGCTAGGTCGAAAACTAAGTAGCATGTTTAAACATCCCCAATATACCGACCATCACAGCCCTCAAAACTGCACTTAAAACCCATCTTTTTAAACTCTACTATCCTGACCGATTCCCACCTCTGACTGAAAAACGATGCTACTGGGTGTCGTCAACGGCTTGACATGTAAATAGTTTTAAATATACATTTGTTTTGTTTCAATTAATTAATCTATGTCTATTAATTTTTAAAGTTTTTTTTTTTCGTTTTTTTGTTGTTGTTATGTTTGTTAAATTGAATGTACAGCGTGGTGAGCCCAGCCTATGTTGGGGTACCACGCATATAAAACCACTTATAATAATAATAATAAACAATAACATATCTCTTTCCCCTTCTTAATTTATATTCTTATTGCTGTTTGTTGATGTATCCCTGGATATTCTGGTCCATTATTATTGTGGACTTTATTTTTCACAGTGTCAATATTTATATTCTCTCGCTTCCTGTTTTCCCACTTCCCGAGACACGAATGAATACTGCTTGAGTTGTCTACTGTGCTCTTTTCTTTGTTATATTTTATTTCTATTGTTGGCTGAGGAAGGCTTTATGCCGAAACGTCCTTGTTTTTTGTCCTGTTACCTTATTTCAAGCTTCCACATACCTCGTTTCACTATTTCATTCATTTACATAGCTTGAAAGCAGTCCCTTCATTTATTTAATTTATATTCACAGGTGTTTACTTTAGATGGTTCATTTATTGGCTCAGTGAGGCTCTCACATCCTATCCGACGACCATCAGGTCTTCACTTAACCTCAGACGGCCATTTGTATGTGATAAACTATCTAGACAATGAAATCGCAGTGTTTAAATTACTTAAATAAGTGTTACAATATGTGCTGTTGCTCTTCTTCATTGGCGTCACAAATGAGACATTCTTACAAATTTTCTGATTATGTTTAAAATAGTTGTGAATGTTTACTTTTGGATTTATACTATTCTTCTAAAAAGAGCAATTAAAAATATGACTTTCCCACATTTTTTTTCTTAATACAAGAATTAAAGCTAAAAAAATGTATAGATTTAAAAAAAAAAAAATGCAAATAATACACTCATAGTTCATAATAGGTGTGTTTGAATTTTAGTCAACCTATTATAAAGAACTTATCAGTAATTTTGTTAGTGTCTAATCTATGCAATCAATCAATTTTGTGAAAAAAGTATTCATTCAAAATTCTTTTGATCAGTTCTTAGTTATATTTGAACAATGTATTTTGAGTTATTAACATTTAAAAATTGTGCCGAATCAATGCCAGGAGTCCCTTGTGTGCTGAGCATTTCTTCTGCCAGTTAAAATATTTTCTAAAATTTTCAGATAGCCCCAAATTCAAAAAATATTGAAAAAGGTTGACTATTCTGGCATGAAACAGGAACATTTACATCACATGGATGATTTTAATGTCGTAATCCACCAACATAGTTTGACCAGACATTTTCTATAGTAATTATAAGATGACACTACAAGAGTCTTGATTATCCATCCTGGGATGGAACATGCAGCAGCTAAACTTGGTATAAATTGAAATAGACATGACACATGACTTGTCTGTATTCATTAATTACATCCTAATCAAACTTTACATCCTTTTTATTACTTAATGAATCTTACACTGTTGATCTGGGCTGTTTTTTTTCTTTTTTTTTCTTGGTTTATAAACTCTACAATTTTCCTTTAATTTTTAAAAATGTTTATTTTTTGTGTGTTTTCCATTAATTCTTTCCTATTTATTACAAAACTGACCATGAGGTTAGAATATGTTTCAATTAAATTGTTCAAACAATATACAGAAATTTTAAGTTGTTTGTTTCCAGTTGTGTCGAGGTTGAGTGGTTGAATTTCTTTATCCTAGGTATGGCAGTTCTGGTTTGGACATGGCATGGCACACACCACTGTAAATTGGAAGAAGCCATTGTTCTGCTGAGGAACAAAACAAAAAACGTATTCTATTAAGGAAATATATTTTGTCCTAGAAAAAGATGTCAATTTTTTGTATCTGCTGTTCAGATCCCCATTGTTCAAGCTTAGATTTGCTCTTACCTACTTGTTTATTATTCTAATATTAGATGATAATGAGTAGCCTAACAAATATAGAGTAGGGCCTACAAAGTGATACTAAATGTGAATAGTTTTCAATGATAGCTTTTGTAATCTGCATAGCTTATCATTTAATATCTTCCTTATCAGTTAGCTAATAAATACAATAATAAGAATAAGCGACAGGACAAAAGGGGTACAAAATTGTTTAAAATAAAAATACATTGCCCTGCAATAAACTTTAACTTATCAAGTTATCCTCTAATAATGTTGAAGCTTAAATATAAATATAATTGGTTCCTAAATCATGTGCATATAGGACAGTTTAATTAGTGAAAGCATTCACACATCAGTTAAAAGATGAAAAGACTCACGTAGCCTATTAAATTAAAGTGTTCATTAACTACTTCAAGACTTACCTTGACAGACCTCCATTTTGTCAGGACTTTCCAAGGCTTCTTCTGATTTAGTAGCACCTGTTAAATTGTCAGCTAATTTATGAGGACCTGTTGAATTGTCTTCTGATTTAGGAGCTCTCATTGTATTATCCTCTAAATTAGTAGAACATTTTGAATTGTCATTTGATTTAGTAGCACCTTTTGAGTCTTTCTCTAATTTAGTAGCACCTTTCAAATCATCTAATTTAGTAGCACCTTTCAAATCATCTAATTTAGTAGCACCTTTCAAATCATCTAATTTAGTAGCACCTGTCAAATCATCTAATTTAGTAGCACCTGTCAAATCATCCTCTGATTTAGTAGCTCCTGTTAAATTGTCCTCTAATTTAGTAGCAATTATTGAAATGTCCTCTAATTTAGTAGCCCTTGTTAAATCCTCTTCTAATTTAGAAGCACCAATGAAGTCTTCCACGAATTCATCATCTTTTGTGCCTTTACCTGTTAGATTAGCAAGTGTTAAGTTGTCCAAATCTTCAACATTTACGACTTTTTGTAATGCAATTGCACAAATCTTATCCTTCCTCTCCTCAGAATTACATTTTAGATCTTCGCTTGGTTTTCTAGACCCTGAAAAATTTGACTGAAGCATAACTGCACTCTGAAAATCTTCTAGAAATGTACCTTCTGAAATAACTGTGGGCTTGGGGTAATCACCTTTGATGCTACTCCCCATGTCAGTCGGCTTAGAGTAATCAACATTGACGGTATTCCATAAGTCAGTGGGCTTGGAGTCATCAGCTTTGACGCTATTCCTCAAATCAGTGGGCTTGGGGTCATCAAAATTGATACTATTCCCTAAGTCGGTGGGCTTTGGCTCATCAATGGGCTTTGGGTCATCAACATTGACACCATTCCCCAAGTTTGTAGGCTTAGAGACCTCAGTGTTGATACCACTCCCCAAGTCATTTGGCTTGAGCTCATTATGGCCCATGGCGCCACCATTGCTGGCGCTTTGCTCCCCCAACTTATTCATCTGATCCATGCTGAGATCCAATTTGTTCAAACTTTGCCCAAAATAACCACTGTCAACCTCATCACACAAGTGATGGAGCAGGCTTTCCTTCTCTTGGGTCAACTCCTGAGGCGCCACTTGTGGCCGGCTATTGATTGTTTCGCCGTGTGTAAACGAGTTATTGACTAGTTCTGGGTGAGAGCTAGCTGTTTCGGCTAACGAGTCATCATGAAATAAGTATGTGGTGGTCTCTTCTTTTAGTGATGTCCAATTGCCTAATGCCAATTGAGCCCCATCTTCTTTTCCGGCTACTAAAATTTTGACCTGATCTTCTGTCCAGGATGGTTTTCTGGTCATTGTAATTGTACTGTCACATTCAACTGAATTTCTATTTTCTGATGATGATGATGAACTAGCAGTATTTTTGGGAGATATATATGCAATGAGTGCTTGGTCGCTTGTAGCATCACATGCTGTACTACATGTGTTATGAAGTTTTTCACCATCTAATTTTAGATTTGTATTATATGTATTGCATCTTGTTGAATCTTCAATAGGAAACGTGCCTTCTATTGTAATGTGTGTTGTTGCCACCTTGACATGATTCACTTGGATCTCACAGTAACCATCTAGGGTATCATTTGTTTTTTCATCAGTGATGCAGCTCACCTTCCCTGCACTACGACGTTTACCGTCATCATTTAAATGCGGCTCACCGTCCGTTATCTGATCAGATGCGTTGTCCATGATATCACACGTGTTGTCACGTGACGTATCGCCCGAGATGTCAAATGATGTGTCACCCGTGTCATCACATGACATGCCATCCGTTAAACCACGTAGCAAGCCATCAGTTTTGTCCTCTGGAGGATCTCCAGAAACATGGTCCCCCAGAAACAAACCGCGAGCGCAGTCTTGCGTTTCAATAACAACGTTGGCACGAGGGATAAAACCAGTCGCGTGATGCTTAGCATTAGAGAAAGTGGCGTTCGTTTCACCTTCAGTGATATCATCTCTTGCACTTACATTGGTTGCCTGCGCTCCGAATGTACTATCGGCTACGTCATGTACCGCAGCATCAATAAGTTCAAGCGTTGAAGGAATTGTATGTTCAGGGTGGTTAGTACAGTCACTTACTGCGCCTGAATCGTTATTTTTCATGAAACCACGTGAACGGCTCGTAACATCGAATGATGTCCCATCCTTAAAAACAAAGCTGTCATCACTAACCGAAGCAGCCTCTACGCTGCCGTCAATAAAGTTTGTTGTACGCCTACTGTGTTTCAAATCGGTTGCCAGTGATGTTAAGCCTTCTGCTTTTGGTGGCCAGATACCTTGTACGCCTGTCTCTGGGTGGGAGAAGAATTGTTCCGTTCCTGCTTTCAGAACTCCCCTATCTTCTGTTACAAAGGACAAGCCCCCTTGTTCTGTGTCTAGTGGCGAGAAATTTAAATGTTCTGATCCATTTCGCGAGACACCTTCAGTTTCTGTTTCCGATGGTGAGATACCTCGTTCATTTTTTTGTGGTGAAACGCCTTCTGGTTTTGTAGCCGTTTGTGAAAAACTTCGTTTTGTCTCTAGTTTTAAAGCAGTATATTCTGATTCTAGTTGCGAAACACCTTTAGGCTCTTTTTCTTCTGGCTGCAAAGCACCATAATGCTCTTTTATTATCTGGCAGCCACCAAGCTCTGGTTTTAGAGCTGCAGTGTCCACATTGTCTGTTTCTTGGTTAAAGCAAGCTTCAGGTTGAGTAGTTTCTGGAGGTGATACGTCTGGCGATATAATTTCTTGGTGTTCCACACGTTCTGATTGTGTTTTTTGGGAACTATCTCCAGCTTCTGTATCATGATGAGAAGTGCCTTCGATTTCTGTTGCGTCTTGAACTTCAGGTTCTAATTCCGAGACATATTCAATTTTTATTTCTTCTGGTAAAATACCCCCAGGCTCTGTTTCTTGTTGTAAAATAGTGTTATCTTCTGTCTCTTGATACATGTTTCCACTAGATTCAGTGTCATGCTGTAAGATAATGTCATGATCTGTCTTTGGATCAACTTTTCTATCTAGTTTATTTTCTGGTTGTAATATATTTTCATGTTTTATTTCTGGTTTTGAGACACTTTTACTAAAAGTTTTAGGTCCTGTTTCTTGTTTTATGATAAAATCAGAATGTGTTTTTACTTGTGATTTAATATCAGTTTCAGGTTTTTCGTGTAAGTTTCTTTCTAATTCCCTTTCTTGTGATTTATCTCCAGGTTCATGTTGTGATACATCTTCAGGGTCATTGTGTGATTTATCTCCAGGTTCATGCTGTGATACATCTTCAGGGTCATTGTGTGATTTATCTTCAGGTTCATGTTGTGATACATCTTCAGGGTCATTATGTGATTTATCTTCAGGTTCATTGTGTGATACATCTTCAGGTTCATGTTGTGATACATCTTCAGGGTCATTGTCTGATTTATCTCCAGGTTCATGTTGTGATACATCTTCAGGGTCATTGTGTGATTTATCTTCAGGTTCATGTTGTGATACATCTTCAGGGTCATAGTGTGATTTATCATCAGGTCCATAGTGTGATACATCTTCAGGTTCATGTTGTGATACATCTTCAGGTTCATGTTGTGATATATTTTCAGGTTCATGTTGTGATATTTCTTTAGGTTCTTGCTGTTGTGATATATCGTCAGTTTCTTGTCGTTGTAATATATCTTCTGTTTCTGTTTGAGAGATATATTCAGTCTCTGTTTCTGTTTGAGATAAAACTTCATTCTCTGCTTTTGTTTGAGAGATATCTCCAGGCTCTGTTTCTGAATATGAAATACCTCCAAGTTCTTGTTGTGAGATACCTTTATGTTCTTGTTGTGTGATACCTTCGGTTTCTTTTTGTGAGATGTTTTCAGGTTCTGTTTCTGATTGATAGATGTCTTCAGGGATTGTATTTGGATGTGAGATACCATCAGGTTGTTTTTGTTTGAAGCCTTCAGGTTGTTGTTTTTGAAAAATATCTTCAGGTTCTGTTTCTGGAAATGAGATAACTTCTGGCTCTGTTCTTGGATATGAGATGCCTTGAGGTTCTTGTGATTTATCTTCTTTTACGGCTTCTGACTGAGAGATAACTTCAGGAGCTGTTTCTGTTTCTGGATATGAGACACCTTCAGGTTCCTGAAGTGATATACCTTCAGGTTCTTGTTGAGAGATATCTTTAGGTTCTTGTTCTGAGATACATTCTGGTCCTTGTTGTGAGATACATTCTGGTCCTTGTTGTGAGATACATTCTGGTCCTTGTTGTGAGATACATTCAGGTTCTTGTTCTGAGATACATTCAGGTTCTTGTTGTGATACATCTTCAAGTTCTGTTTCTTGTTGAGAGATAACTCCAGGTGCGGTTTCTAACCGAGAACTATGCTCAGGCTCTGTTTCTGAATGATGTAATTTTTCAGGTTCTGTTTGGTGATATGACATACCATCACGTTGTTTTTGTGAGATACCTTCAGGTTCTCGTTGTTGTGATATATCTTCGGGTTCTATTTCTGGTTGAGATATACCTTCTGGCTCTGTTTCTGTAAATGAGATACATTCAGGCTCTGTTTCTGTAAATGAGATACCTTCAGGTTCTCTTTGTGAGATACCTTCAGACTCTTTTTGATGTGAGATACTTGCAGGTTCTGTTTCTGGATGAGAGATATCTTCAGGTTCTGTTTCTAATTGAGCAATGTGTTCAGGTTCTGTTTCGGATTGATAGATATCTTCAGATGCTACTTTTGGATATGAAATACTATAAGGGTCTTGTTGTGAGATGCCTTCAGGTTGTTGTCGTGTGAAGTCTTCATGTTGTTGTTGTGAGATGCCTTCAGGTTGTTGTCGTGTGAAGTCTTCATGTTGTTGTTGTGAGATGCCTTCAGGTTGTTGTTGCGAGATGCCTTCAGGTTGTTGTTGTTGTGAGATGCCTTCAGGTTGTTGTTGTTGTGAGATGCCTTCATGTTGTTGTTGTGAGATGCCTTCATGTTGTTGTTGTGAGATGCCTTCATGTTGTTGTTGTGAGATGCCTCCATGTTGTTGTTGTGAGATGCCTTCATGTTGTTGTTGTGAGATGCCTTCAGGTTGTTGTTGTGAGATGCCTTCAGGTTGTTGTTGTGAGATGCCCTCAGGTTGTTGTTGTGAGATGCATTCATGTTCTTTTTGTGAGATACTTACATATTCTTGTTGTGATATATCTTCAGGCTCTTTTTCTGATCGTGGGATATCTGCAGGCGCTGTTGCTGGATATGAGATACCCTCAGGTTTTTGTTGTGAGATATCTTTAGGTTCTTGTTGTGAGATAACTTTAGGTTCTTGTTGTGAGATATCTTCAGGTTCTTGTTGTGAGATACCTTCAGGTTCTGTTTCTATTTGAGATATATGTTCAGGCTCTGTTTCTGATTGAGAGATATTTTCATGTTCTGTTTTTGCACATGAGATACTATCAGGTTTTTGTTGTGAGATACGTTCGTGTTGTTGTGATGTATCTTCATGTTCTGTTTCTGGGAATGATATACCTTCAGTTTCTTGTTGTTGTGATATATCTTCAGGTTCTTTTTCAGATTTAGCGATATCTTCAGGCAATGTTTCTGTGTCTGGATATGAGACAAATTCAGGTTCTTGATGCAGGGTACCTCCAAGTTCCTTTTGGGAGAGACTTTCAGGTTCTTGCTGTTGTGATATATCTTCAGATTCTTTTTCTGGGAATGAGATACCTTTAGCTTCTTGTTGTGAGCTAACTTCAGCTCCTTGGTGTGATTCAGATTCTTGACGTGAGAGATCTTCAGTTTCTTGTTGTTTTGTATTACCTGGTGAGTATTTCATGATTTCAGTTTCTGGTGTAAGTATAGGTTTAGTTCCTGTTTCAGGGGATGAAACACCTCCACGTTCTATGGAAGGTACACTACCAGCTTTAGATTCTCGTCCTGATACACTTTTAAGTAGCTCTTCTGTTTTTGAGGTTAATGTGGGATCATTTTTGTATTTGAAGTCATTGAAATCCTCAGCGTTTGATGGTGAAACTGCTTCAGAATTTGAGGCTTGTGAAGATGAAGCTTCAATTTCTTTTCCTAACGATAAGTCAGTTTGCAGTTTTTTGGCTGGTAAAAAGGTAGACTGGTGTTGTGAACTCATACAAGGGACTGTTGGAGGCAGATCGTCTTGTTTTAATTCTAGAGTATCTTGTGATAAATGATTTTTACCTGACGAAATGATTTCATGAGTCTCCGATTCTAATAATCTAGCTATTCTCAGGGCTAAAATGTTTTCTGCGTTGTTTCCTGGGTAGATGCGCATATTTTCTACAAAGTGTGTCAATGATAAATTAAGTGCATGATGCCCATTTTGATGGTCACTGTCAATTCCATGTGGCACGGATTCATCTTTGGTTTCTGTTTCTGTTGTGTAAGGATTTGGGGATTTCTTAGATGAGAAATGATCAGAAACCTCATCATCGTAAAGTTCGCCCCGAGAGCAAGCATTAACTTCACTTGGCTCGCATGTATGATTGACTGCTTCAAATACTACCTGACCATTGTGATGTGTTGGATGGTGATTGTCTTCTACACATGAAACTCTGTCCGATGATCCTAGAGCTTCAGAGTGTTCAATACATCTGACATTAGATTTTAAATCATTTTTGTTACCCCTTAACCTCTCTGATGGTTCTGAGTTATGGGCGACTTTGCTCAATGGGATACTTGTGCGCACATACGTTCCAGTGGATGCTCCCACATCAAGGACTTCACAATTGCTAGACAAATTAAGGACATTATTTCTGGATCCAGTGTTAACAGATATAGAGGTTGTGCTATCGGATGGAGCTTTATCTTCCCAGAGCATCCATATATCTGGTCCTCTGTTTAATGGGTCTACGCCCGGAGACTGTTCAAAGTCTTTCAATCCCTCCTCAATTAAAGGATCAGCATTCACCGTGTTTTCACTGTTCCCTTCTTCGCTAGCTTCTAATTTAATCAGCACGCCACTCGTAGATTTGGAAGATTCTGCGAGGCCGTCACAACGGTTAGTACCAACTGTCCAGTGATCTGATACATTGACGGTGGGTGATGGGATTGAGGGCGACTCTATTTGTTCCGGATTTAACGCCGTGTCTGACTGCATTGTCATGTATCCACTTAAATGTTTGTCTGCCATAGATTGTTGGAAACAAGGATCATCTTGTCCTCTGTATGTCGGTGTTTCATATATCCCTCTATAATCATCATTCATTTCATAATAGCTTCCACTAGAATCGTACAACTCATAACGGCTGTCTCTGTAGTCATTGTTCGATTCCCTACTTGCATGGCTGAATCTAGACTCTTCATACATCTCAAAATGGATGTCTCTAGGCTCATTGTTTAATGCATTATGACCCACTCTGGACTTACCATACAACTCAACATGGCTGTCTCCAGCATTGTTTAATTCAAGAAGGTTGTCACTAGACCTATCATACAACTCAAAATGTCTGTCTCCAGCATTGTTTAATTCAAGAAGGTTGTCACTAGACCTATCATACAACTCAAAATAGCTCTCTCCACTATTGTTCAAATCAAGAAGGCTGCCACTAGACTCTTCATTCGATCCACGTTTGTTGCTTCTAGCCTCAAAATGACGGTCTCTTGAATCGTCATCGTACATTTCAAACCCGCTGTCTTTACCAACAGAGGACAGTTCATGAGGGTTTCCTTTAAAGTCACCATACGGGTCATAACCTGGGTCCTTCATCGAGAAGCTCATACCATCATATTCGTTGGTGAACACAGATTGTGGATCATACAGTTCACTCAAGGAAGACGCGTCCTTTCGTTTTAAACTGGGCGAAATCGAATGAGCATACGATTTGTTTGATGAATATAACAGTTTATTATCTCGAGCTCCCCAAACATTTAAACGACCACACGAGGTATGGCGCTCATCGACTAATTTTGACGGAGACGACAATGATTTCTCTGACATCTCGACATTGTTTTTACCTAAAAGCACTTGACTTACAACCTCCGAAGATCCGAGGCTGATCGTTCCCGTTGTGCTGCTTAGATCGTGTTGCCGCTCGACTGTAATCGGGAGTGAAATCTCACTGCTCAGAAACAGCTGACTGGCTCCAAGCTTTAGTAGCCACGGGTCATCTGAATACATCTCGAAGTTATCCGTCTGTACTGGTTCGTGTTCAGATAGCCGTCGAATGAGTTGATCGCCGAATTTAAGGTCAGAATTGATTGAGTCACCAGAAGCTTGACCATTTCTTTTTAGGATGGTGATTTCCGATGGTTCCCATGCTTTATCAAGTGAAAAATTGTCTGGCTCGTGAAAACGGCTGCGGTAACTCTCGTCTGGTGTGCCTTTGTACCACTGAGACTTAAGATTGGCTGTTCCTTTTGGAGTTTGACATTGTTTATTGTCACTAGGTTGTCTCGGTTTATGTTCAACTCGTGTCAAAGCTTGGTCATCCCCGACTGACATACCAAAGTCTTTTGAAGTCCAGTTGCTAGACGGATCAATACAACCAAGTGATAATGTCATAAACTCACTTTGATCAACTGGTTTTATTTTGTCCGAATGATCACCAAACTCTTGATCTGATGTCCACTTGGACCATTTTTCTGCATTAGTCCATCTCTCAAAGTCCCAACCACATCCCTTCTCGGCCTTGTTAATTGCGGTGTTAGGTGGATAAGTTAACCATGATTTCTCAACGTCACTGTCTGATTTCCTACCTGGAGTGTCGAATTCGTTATAAGTCTCTTTAACATAACACTGCGATCCTGACACCCTGCTTTCGGGACACAACAACGATTCTTTCTGATCATTCCAGATGTTAGAAGTTTGACAATATTCTACAGGACAGGTGTCACGATAATCTATTTCAAAACTCGTATCATCCAAATATTGACGGTGTAAACCATGTTCAGTGTTTCTATAAACATAGGGATCGTGGCACGTTGTGTTATGCAACGCTTCATCGTTGAACTCTGCATTCCAGCAGTTGGTTTCATCAAGGGAAGAAACATGCCTCGCATCCAAGCCTTGTGTACGCTCTTGGACGTAACGTTTTGAAAGTCTACTATGAGGTTGTTCCCTGCCCGAGGCCCATGCAGGATCAAGCATTATGTGGCAAACTTTTGAATGATCCTCTGTGTATATGTAGTCAGTCAAAATCCCTGTGGTTAGATTTACGTTACCACTTGTTGGCCTAAATTGGCACAACGGTGGATGTACATCCGCAGACACACACTTACTACGTCCACTCAGACTGGTCATAGATGTTACGTCCGTGTGTTTGTGTATCCCCTTGTCTCGGGTTAACCTGCAGCATCCTGGTTGGTTTTGTTTCCAAGATTCCTCTTCCGTGTTGGAAAGGTTACTCACGGCATCACTGAGGAATTGTCTTGTAATAGATTGGGGGCTGTTCTGTTTCAAGATTGGGTCATTTATAGAGCTTCTGATATTCAATCGATGTCGTGAGTCTGGAGATAAAAATGTAGATATTATTTACTCGCTGTTTCCTGAGATTTAGTCTTCCCTAATATTGGGACATGTGCTAAAAAATGGACCCATGGGTCACAGGTATATCTTCACTTAAGAGTAAAGTGTAGAGCTAAACTTTCCGAAATCCTTAAACGCGGAATCGTTTTCATAATTTAACTCCCTTTAAGGTAAAAAAAACCAAACTAAACTAATTGAACACAAATAAAAGAAACACATGATTTGTGCAATTGAGGTAATCTTTTTTTTTTTTTAAAGTTTAGGTGCAGCAAGTATGCCCCATCCCCTTAGAGGCACAATTGGAACAATCGAGAAAGGTTTGAAAGGAGAATTCATCATGGGGATTAATACCATTTTTGTTTTTACGGCAGTTAACTGGGGATCAGTTTTCTCTAGAAACCACTGCCAAAGACAGTTCATTTTCATATTTTAGCATACATCTTGTCATACAATTAGAAATGACAATTGTGAGTTTTTTTTTACACATATTGATTTTTATAAGGGGAAGAAAATAATAGGCTTAATAGGGAATTATACATTGAAAATTAATGTCAACTAAAGGTAAGGTACCTGTGATTGCCGTATGGTAGGAATTTGTGAAAACTTGAGAACTGCATTCTTGACCACTAACTGGTGGTTCAGATGTCAGACCAATTAGTCTAATCAGTGTCTTGTCCACGCATTCCCAGACCGGTATATCCACCTCCCAGTCCTGGCCGAAATATAGGACATCGTTTTCTTCCAGTTCTGGTGGCAGCTGACACTTGGCTACCCCGACACTTAGACACAGAAGTCGCCTCCGCAGGCTCGGTTGTGTTGCCAGGTAACAAATCGGTCCATCTTTTAAGTACACGTGCCGACACTTGTGTAGAAACCCCGGTGTGAGAAGGAGGATGGTGACTGATGACCCGTCAGTGACCCGTTCGAGTTCGTGAAGTAAGTCCTGTGTACAGCAGTCACGGTCGTGGTAGTAGCTAGCAGATAAGTGAGGCAAACATTTCAGCAACATTCACGTGGAGAGAGAGGTATTTAAAAGTGGACAGAATGAACACAGCAGAGTTGATGTTTCATCTGAAAAAAGACACCAAACAACATGCCCCACCCACCACCACTATACATGAGTATCTATTGCATCAACACGTTCAACATCTCTAATGACGGAGTCGATTCAAAATCGCGATGTTTGATTTTGAAGGCTTTTTAGTCGGCATCGAAGTGGAACAAAAATAATCGTTTTCAGAAATCAATAGTCAGCGCTTGAATTGTGTTTTGCCGACTATACGTCTCGACCACTCTAAAGGTCTCGGACAAGAGAGATCCGGTCATTCAGAATTAAAGATCTTCAATAGGATTAGGAGAGATCCCATAATTCAGAAATGCAGGTCTTTGGATAAAGGGGTTCGATAATCCAGATATGAAGATTTTGGATAGGAAGACGCCCCGTAATTAAGAAATGTAGATCTTGAATAGGAGAGACCTAGTTATTCAGGTATGAAGAGCTTGGACAGGAGAGACTCGGTATAATTGGAAAGCAGAATTTTTTATGAGGGAGAGGCAGATTTCGTTTAAGGGGTGTGAGGGGGGGGGGGGGGGACAGCAAGTCACTCAGACAGACACCTTGCACTTTGGGTTTGAAACTTTACATTTGATTCCGCCTTCCCCCCTCGTGGAAAAAAATAA